ATAAGTGACACCTGTGTAACCTCCATGTTTTATATACATGCTTATTACAGCAGGAAAGCCAACCAGAGAGCGGGCTAGTGAGAGTTTTTGGCGGAGAGTGTTGGCTTTGAAGGATGCTTCCCTTCGGGTTCAATCTAGTTAGAATGAGATGTACAGCACCCCCACTACCTGCATCTGCATTGAAACTGCAGAGGGGATAAGAGAGGTGAAATATGATCAGTGCTGGATGTTACGGTGAGGAGCTCTACAGAAAAGTGAGAGAGACCCAGAGTAAGGAAGAGAACACATCTGAGAATCTCATATTAGTTTTAATCGTTTTACAGTTTTTCAAAAAATGTAATGCACTGAAAAACAAAGAACCCAGGAACCCAGGGTTTGTGAGGTTCTTAGATACTAGTGATTATAGCCATAACAGTAGACAGATTAAAAGACTTTCCCCCTAATTTAATCAAAATCCTGCCTTCTACCTGACATCAGAACCTTATAAAGTCCTGATTATAAATGTGAAAACCTTCAGAATACATTTTAATCAGAGTTTTTGGAGATTTAGTCTTCTAATGTTAATGGTAGCTTCCTGGGTAGTGTTTTCTAGTGACAACAGAAGTTATTCAATCTCAATTTTTAAGACCCAAAAGAAAATCAGAATGAAGTAGGCTTGCTTTTCAAATGGACCTCAATTTCAGATCTGCCGGCTGTTATTTTGATTTGTCCCTTTAATCAACTCCCAAATTCCAGCATACTGTATTTCAATTATTTCACCCTTGTTTAATTCCCATTATATCCTGGAGGTTCCAATTAACACCACTGGGACAGGCATGGCCGAAAGAAGCATCACACGCTGACCAAGCCTAGGAGTATGGTGTATCAGTGATTCCTGAACTAACACCAGAGGGCAGGCAAACAATGCAAGAAAGAAACTGATGCAAACAAGGGATCCTGCTGCTTCTATACAGTTTAGCATTGTGGAGTCATGATATCATGGTCATGCTGGGAGTTTATCGCTAACACAAATTGCCACAGGAAGCATTTTGTCAAAATTTCAATATCAGCGCAGTCACAGCATATATAGTGAACAGCTTTATTTACTTAGGAGATAACGTTAGTTGAGTAGAATGTTAAATTAGGGTAACAGTCTCCAGCTTCTGTATAAATGCTTAAAGGAAGCCAATGCATCTCTGGGAGCCCAACATCAAAGGGAATACATTTCACAGTGTATTCATTTTTTAAGCAACCCATAACATATAACATAAGAAATATAATGAATCCAGGAAGAGCTCTGGACACCCTAATTGTGTCTTAGCACTTATGCAGATCTTTCCATTTTCCAAATACTAATTTATTAGGGGCAAAATTGTACCTATTTTGCATAGCCCTGAGCAGTACTAAGGTACCCCATGCTAGAGGGACCACAGGTGACATTTGACCTTGAGGGGTAGTGACTCCAGCATCCAGGGAGCACTCAAAAGGTAACACACTTAAATCATGCAGCATACCTCACCTCCTATCCCCCGACATGCCTAGCAAGCTTTACTGGTTGGCATATAGGCAGGGAGGAATCATGGCTCCAACTACATCTCATCCCCTCTTTTGGGTTCTCTACTACATAGTGGAGGGTCTTGGTACTAGCACTGTGCTCCCTTGATCAGAGGGGATGCAAATCTGCCCAGAACCTTATGTGGCAGCACAACACAAAGAGAGGCTCCTCTTTCAGATCTGGATTCTTGCCCCGCTCCCCCAAAGTTAAAGACTATTCATATCCAGGCTTTTGGTTTAGCCTGTTACAAGATGGGGGCCTTGTCATTTCATTTTAATTTGGATCCTGATTCAGGTCATTATCATCAAGGCACCTCCCAAAGGGATGTAGTCTCCTTGCAGATCAATCACCACTGGGATCAATCTCTAGCTAGGTCCTTAGGACAATCTGGCTGAATGTTCAGTCTGTGTCCATCATTGGCCATCTCACTGCACCACCAAATCTTTTGATGACTATGTGCTGAGCAGCAGCATTCCTTGGTAAACAGGCTTTGTAATTTGTTGGTCTTCCTCCTATTATGTCCATACCAGAAAAGCCGACGAAATTGAACTTGTGCTGATGGAGATCCATTGCTGACTGTGTCCTACCACTTAATATGGAGCTGAAATGGGCAAGAGTTTCTCTGCCACTGAGGAAAAAATGCCCAATGAAAACTTGTGAAAGGCCATTCCCGTATCCTGATTGTTGGCGGAATATGTAAAATTGGTGCCTGGAATGTTAAGCCGCTCTCATCAAGCTGTTGAAAAGTCTGATTGTTGATATCTGTGCCTTATTGTTGATATCTGTTGATATCTGTGCCTTATCTGAAGCACACTGCCCAGAACCAATGAAAAAAGAGTTGAGGACTATACGTTTTTGTTCTCATACTGCCCTCAGGGGTTGCTTGAGCAGAATGGCTATTGTACTTTCACCCAATGCCCAAACAGGAACTGCAGCTGTGGCAGATAACTAATGAGCAATTTATCCTGACTGGGATACTAAATACTAAATCCCCAAATTTAAAAGATGTTCAGATCTGGGATTGTTCCATCTCAGTAAAGACAAAAGATTCCAGTATTAAAAATACTCAGTATAAATAGATATAATGTAAACATGCACTACTGTATAATTAAAGTAAATTATTGTAACCACTTTGAGAGCACTTTCCCTACTCAACCCTTGTTCAGGAAAACTCTTACTGACGTCTACTGACAAAAGATTGAGTAAGGAGGCCCTTAGTATTTGACCCTAACTTTTTATGGAACCATTCTCTCATAGCTGTTATCAGGTGTTTAAAGGAAGTAGCTGCAGACTTACGGGAAGGGTTATGGAAAGTATCAGTTTATCTTTAAATCTTGCAACCTTTAAAATTTCTTTCAGATGTGGACATCCAAAACAGTGCTACAGATCAGTGCTGACAGGATCACTGACACACACACTTCCTTCCTTGTGAATCTCAGTTCAGGCATGTGATGGCTAATACGCAAAAAAAATGATCCCTCTATCAGGGCAGAAGCTTTAGCACGTTCATCTTTCCTAGGCATGGCAGGCGTTTCAGAAGAGTAATTCCAATTATATAGACCTGTGACAGTTTCTGTTTTTGTGGGCACTATTTTATGCCTATGAGTAACTGCACCTGCATTTTTTAGTAATGAGCTGTGAGTGCAAGTGTTGATTAGTTCTAGCCCAAATTGTCAAATGTGGCTTCTACTTTTGGGTACCTCAAATTCTGGATGGCAGTTAGAGACACTTAGTGCCTGATTTCTGAATCGCACCTCCCACGTATTCCACTCAGGCCCTAGGTTAGGTATTTCAGGTTGGGCAATCATAAACTGTGGTGGCATTCTAAATTAGAGTACTCAATTGAAAATCTAGATCAAAATGCCTACCTGTTTGCATGTGTGTAACAGGGTGGGCTGCACTGTTATGAACCAGGGGGCCTGCTCGTGCCCCTTATTAGGCAGGGGGTCGAGTGTTCCCTACAAAAGGCTGAGACAGCTCAGTTGGAAGGGGAGCTGTAGAAAGGAAGTAGGTTTCTGTGGCTGGGCCAGGAACAGGAGATAGAAAAGCAAAGGGAAAGGCCTTGGGACCCCTGCAGCCTGAGTTGATCAGAGGAATAGTATTGTTTTGTGTTACTCTGTGAGTTTTGTGTTTGAATTAATAAACTGTGCCCTGCAGCATGGGCCTGAAAGAGACTTTGGGCATGGCATTAGTCCTTTCTGGGTTGGGCAGACAATCAGCTTATAATATGCTAGTATTTATCACAGATGTCTAATTACTATTGGTGCCTGCAGATAGCTGAGAAAAAGAAGAGGGGGGGGGAATAAAGGAGAAATGGGGAATGACAAGAACACATAGGAGTGAGAGATGGACTGAAAGGAAGAGCAAAAATTAGATACTGAATTACTGCCTGAGACAGAGGCAACCTCAGGCCATAAAATATGTCCTTGCTCTACTCTGTCATATAATCAGTTTCTCACAGCAATGTGTGATTGTGTAGGATCATGGATAGGAAGGGAAAAGGCCCATAAGACAATCTCTATTAAGATGTGGACTACTCTGCAAAGTTTGAGAACTTCTGTTCTAGTGCTCCGTCCAGTCTATATTTATATGTCTCCATCTACACAGGGCTTCTGTTGCTCTCCTCTCATCCCCAAAGTGGAACTGTCACTCTTATCTACATGTGGTTAGGCTGGTCCAAAATTTTCCAATTCAATATTTTGTTTTATTTTTAAATGGGGGAAATTTGTCATAAAAATTATCATTTTTTTGATCAACTAGAGAGTTTTTTAACCTTTTTTTCAATATTTGAAATATTCATTAAATTATAAATTTTGAAATTTAAAAAAGGTGGGGTGGGTTTTTCCCCCCCCCCAATTTTCCACCCTTTTCCTCCTCAGGGTCTAGCAGGTTACTACTGGAAAGTATTTCCTGATTTAAGCTTTACTTTTTCCTCCCATGGATCAGTTTTTCACCAGAATAGCTTAAAATTTACGACAACTAATTACTTATGTTACTTTAAAACAACTTATATTAATGACAGACTCGAAATCAATGGTCACATCTAAGGGAACAGAATTTTATCAAAACCAAAGACTAAGATATAGCAAAACACAGAAACACAAGATTTAAACAAAATGTATCATCATCACTTAATAGTCATCAGAGAAAAGTCCTCTGCTATTTATGAAGTGTTGATGTCTCAGAGAGGATCTCCACCTACACATGGAAATATAGCCAGGAGGAGCCCAGAATGGGAGAGAACAATCAGGAAATAGACAGTCTGGGTACAATGTTATCTCAGAGAAACGGAAGAGTTATATATAAAAAGGGGTAGGTAGAAGTCTGAGCTGTCAACATGAGGAGGGTTGAGAGGATAATTTAAAACATCCTGAAAGGAAAATACAAGTTACTCATTCAGAAAAATAAAATATGGGACAATGGTCATTGAGTAAAAATAGAAGTATATAATTAAAGAGACACTTACTGTACCAGGCCGGGGGTATGGGATACGTCCTTCGTATTGTACCCATCGATGATCCACACTTTCTTTGTGAGCGTAAGGGCCATTGAAAACAGCTCTGATATCAGCCATGCTGTACACACAAACTGCAGAGCCCTTGAATACAGAGCTGAAAGAAATGAAGAATGTTTATAAGCACATTTTAAAATCTTCAGTATAGGCCTGATCCAAAGCCCACTGAAGACAGTTAAAAGACTTCCCCTGATTTTGATGGACTTTGGATCAAGTCCTATACCTGAGAATTATAATAACTGAGGTTGGTGCTAATTATGTATGGTACAGATTACTGCTTTGGCCTGAAAACTCATACTTAATATAACTGTGAATTAGAGTTTAAAACTTTGGTCTACTGGAGACTAGGTTTGTTAACCTTTTGGCCATCCTGAAAAAAACATCTTTTATCTTGGTGGGTGAAGGGATCCAGAGACCTCTTATTCCTTATTATGATTAGGACTTTGGGGTGTGAATTTTAGAGATTGAAGGACAGCCCATTACATTCAGTTTGTATTTGACATTCTGTATTTTAATTCTTGTTCAGGCAACCAGAGTATTAGAGAGGCATGTGGTAGGAGCACTGTAAACCAAAAATAAATAAATAAATAGTTGTGTGTCTTTTCTAACAAAGACAGTTGAATGATCTAACCAAAACCAAGCCGTAGGCAAACGTGTTAATCTTACACTTTGTGTGACAAAATGGACATCCATTCACTTCTGTATAGCTTCAGTGGCTATGTAATCTTTTAGGGCAAGATCCTGTAATTCAGTTCAATTTTTGTCAGTTTGTTTACTGAATTGTATGAAGGTTCCAAGAGGCTTTGTTGCATATGGCATGGATCCTATCAATATTGTATTCAGGGGCGGCTCTAGCTTTTTTGCTACCCCAAGCACAGCAGGCAGGCTGCCTTCGGCGGCTTGCCTGCCGGAGGTCCCCGGTCCCGCAGATTCGGCAGCTTGCCTGTAGGAGGTCCGCCGGTCCCGCGCCTTCGGCATACCCGCCGTCGAACTGCCACCGAATCCACGGAACCGGCGGACCTCCCGCAGGCAAGCCGCCGAAAGCTGCCTGACTGCCGCCCTCGCAGGGACCGGTAGGGCGCCCCCCGTGGCTTGCCGCCCAGGCACGCTCTTGGAGCGCTGGTGCCTGGAGCCGGCGCTGATTATATTAATTCATACTGTTCTTATAGTTGACATTTACAGTCTCTTTCATCCTTTGCACACTGCACTGAGACCCCAGGGACCTCAGTTCTACTCCTGGCTCTGCCACTAATCAACTGTGTGACCTGGGACAAGTCAAGTAATTTCTCTGTGTCACTCTCCAGCCTTGACAGCTCCCCCTTTGGTTGGTCTATTTAGATTATCAACTCTTCAGGACGAGGACTCACTTACTATGTGAATGCTCTGCGTCTAGCCCAAAGGCACCCTAATCTTGGTCAGGGCATTTATGTGCTACTGTAATACAAATCAATAATAAAGACTACTACAAACTGATACAGAAATTATATCTAGAATGACTACGTTCCATTCCATCTGCAGCAGGTAGATTACATGACACACAAAAACTACATTGAACATTATTAAGATGGGGAGTCAAATACTCAAAAGTTAGGATGCCAGAGGTAAAATTGCCAGTGCAAACTTAACTCGCCCCCTTGTGTGTATACATTATGATGCTGTCTCTAATTACATGATCACACACTATTTTATCCACAGGACTTCTGCCTCATTCAGTTCACAGGATGCAGGGTGCTCACTTAATCAGCAGTTATTCAATATCTTGTTGTAACCTTATTGTTCAATGTGTGACCCCATTTTCTGCACACTATTCAAACCATGCTCTGAAAACAGAATTATTAATTTCCTCATTGGATGTTCTATGATGTTCATCACTATAATATCTGAGTACTACACCAACATTAATTAATCTTCCAGCCCCACTCCCCTCCTTATTACCATCCCCACCTATTATGCTGATGTGTTCCTCTAAAGTGCTTTATTGCAAAAAGTGACCTACAGATGTATCACCTTGACATGTGATATTGTTTGATCTCACAAGGTAATCAAGTATCAGAGGGGTAGCCGTGTTAGTCTGGATCTGTAAAAAGCAACAGAGAGTCCTGATGCATCCGACAAAGTGGGCATTCACCCACGAAAGCTTATGCTCCAATACATCTGTTAGTCTTAAAGGTGCCACAGGACTCTGTTGCTTTTTACAAGATAATCAGGGTCTGGCAGCAAAGGAGAATGAATTTATTTCAATAGGAGCTGTTGGGTACTCTGTAAAGCTAGTCAATTTTTTTTTTTTAAATTTTGAAATGCAACATCTTGAAGATTTTTGTGAAAAATTCACCTGTTTCTCAACCGACTCTTTTTTAAACCAGGCACGTATTTAGATGCCTACATAAGGACTATGAAGCATAACTTTAGGCACACATTTTGGAAAATATTGGCCTAGGGGAATAGAGGTCAGTCCTGCAGGTCTTATTCTGGCAAGCTCCCTTTGACTTTAAGAGGTTTTTGCCTGTGAGGCCTTCAGGATTGGATTCCAGGGGCAAATGTGACCCTACACATACCTTGTAGTAGTGAAGACTCCATATACTAGAGGGTTTCTCTCATCTCTTGTGGAAAGTAAGAATATATCTTCTGTAATGGGAAAAGTTTCTTTTTATTAAACAGCCTATAAACATTTTCATATTTACCACCCTATCATTTGGAGCTTTGTAAACATAACATTAATCCTTACATCTGAATTTTCTGTCCTGTGAATTGTGCTGAAGTTTTGATGTCTGCCATCTGCTGTATTCCACCTGGAATCAGCTGAACTTCTCCCCAAATGGGAAAAGCCAAGTAAAAATAACAGGGCATAATTCTGATCACATTTACACCAGCTGTATACCAGGAGTAAAGTCAATGGAGTTGCCCACAGTATAAAACTGGTGTGAGTGAGATCAAAACACTGTCCTGAGTTTCTGAAAATCCAAAACACAGAGCAGATTACAGAACAAAATAGTAAAGATCAGTTCAACTTACGTAGCTCATCAAAGTGTGTGTCTGCTCCCTCAGGGCCAGGTATTGAGCACACCAGTCTTGCTTTCAGGAAAGTTGTCCACTTGTTTATTAGGCTCCGTTGACCTCCCATATCATTCTAATTTAAAAAATAAAGTTTTGCTTAATGACTAAATAAGATAATTTTACATAAGCATCTAAAATATCTGCTGATCCCCTTCTGAGCAGTGTTTTACAGGGCGTATTTCTAGTCCGCCCTTTCTATATTTAAAGTAGAAAAGGGATTAATGGGAAATGTTTAACACAAACATACATCTCACAAGAAATGCTTAAGATCGCAGGTGCAGGAAGACCTGCTGTATTTAAGGCTGCAGAGTGGTTTTCTTTGTAACCTCATTTTTAGTTACTCATAGCCTTGGGGCTTTCAACTTTGGGGCTGAAATTTGAATGGTTTGGTATTATCCCAATTGTGATTGTATTCTTTTACTCCTTGTGCTGAAAAAAGCCTAGTTTGAACAAATAAACTAAAAAAAAATGTTTTGTTCAAACTTTGAACAAAACCAAAATTTTGAAACCCCCCTTTTTACAGTTTATTTGGTCAAACTAGCCATTTTTCAGTACAAAGAAAGTAAAAGAATACATTTTACCCCATTATACAAAAATCTGTTTGCAAAGTTTCTTTGAACAGCTCCACAGCTGAAATGCCCAAAGCCACACCTCTCCCAGCCATGTAATCTCTTCTTGTTAAGAGACAGTCATTCTGGAATCAATGGTTCTCTAGGAATTTTTTTATATACAGAATAATGGTGCAGATCATTTGGGGCGGAGGTCCCAAAGACAAATTACTGTACCTACCAATGGTTCTACAAACATACATATGCTATTTGTTATGTGTACACAGTTCACAGGGAGGTTTGTGAGAGGGCAAAATTTGATCAAATTACTATATCCTACGTTCTTGGTGAAGTATTCCTCTAAATTCCATTCTAGATAATTTCCCCTGAGCTACCCTCATAGCACTAACAAACAATGCTCAAAGGTTTGGGGATTTTCTAATGTATCAAGTATAAAATAAATGGGATACCATGACCAAAACAGTTTCTGAAATATTAATATGCTTAACACAATGTACTCATGAGTTGTCAAAAAATGAAAAAAGGAGTTGATTCTGGAATG